CGCCTTTCCTGGATCTCTCTTTGTAGCCCAGGCTGGCCTCGAACTCACAGAGATCTGCCTGCCTCTGCCTCCCGAGTGCTGGGATTAAAAGCGTGTGCCACCACCGCCCGGCCTGATTCTCTACCCTACACTGTCATTCAAGGCTGCAAAGAGGTCAGGTGAGCTCATCGCTGAGGGAGTCCTAAGGGAGAAGTGAGCAGGGTGAGGGCCTCTTGAGGTCCCGTGATGCAAAGCAGATTGTTATTTCCTCCAAGGTCTGGAGAGAGAAAGGCTTGTCTTCCAGCCAAATCACACCCCTGGGTACCAGTATTCCAGGGGGTGTCCCAGAGGGAGGCAGCACCCAGGGCCTGTCACCACCGACTCACCTTGCTTCCTGGAGGCCCTTTTCAGTGAGCAAAGTGAAGAACAGCGGGAGACACCAGAAGAACGCGTCTGTGGTGGGCTGTTCTACCAAGGAGGATCTCCCAGGGCTTGCTTTCCTGAGCCCAGTGCTTAGGGCTGCCATGTGCTGACCCGAAGTCCTCTGTTTGTACTCTTTCCTCAGCCCCTGAACCTCTTCTTGCTTCCTGGAAGCTCCACTTATCCCACAGGGGCTGGCTCAGGGTGGGGCACACTGGTTGGGCAAGTCCACTGTCAGCCATTCTCCAAGGTGTCCTCTGACCTCCAGACGGGCTATGACACAGGAACTCCCCCGCCCCCAAACAAATATAGTTGTTTTTTGTTTTTTTTTTTTTTTTGTTTTTGTTTTTTTTAAACTAGCAGCAGGCACTATTATTCTCCCCATTTTACTAATGGGAGAACTTAAGAGACTTGCCTGGGGGAGATCACACAGCGCCGGAGCGCTGAAGAGTCTAGAAGAGGCTGTATATATATATGGTCCAGACTAGGACCATACTATTCTGTTTATTTTCTTGTCCCCAGCTGTGAAACTTCCAAGTCCCTGTCACACGGGAGCTCTAAAAGGGGGATGATTCACAGCATGGGCAGACGATCCCCTCCATGGTCTTGGCTTGCAGATTTATCAACGAGGACTCGGTCAAGACTGGAGTCATCCAACAGACACACTGAGCCCAGGGATGGAGGCCGAGTTCTCACCCGGGGAAAGACTCACACAAACTGGCCTAACCCTTCCAGGGCATTTATTGGCTCATAGAACCAACAGGTTGGAGAGAGGCAATTGGGGCCCCTTTCCCAAATGCCGCGCCCACGAAGCGCAACCTCACCGTCTCCCATTTAACAACCCATGCCCTGGCTCCAGAAGCCACCTTCTCACCAGGGCTGACTCTCATTGGACCTCTTTAGGTCATGCATTCATCCCTCGACCAATAGCTGTAGTCTAGAGGAGGGATTATATCAACTGGACAGCCCGGGCAAACCATTAGAAAGGCAGTGATGGAGGGCGCCCCCTGGTGGAGGCAGGGAGAAATGCAACTGGACACAGGCGTTGTCTACTGTGGTGAGCCTTGGAAGTTCAACTTGGCTTGTAGGATCTGCAACCTACCTTCAAATCTACCATGACACTGTTGGCTTACCATGGATTTCAGCTTTTTTTTTTCTTCTTAGTTTGCCTTCTTCGGCCCACTGACTCCTCCCTGTTACTATTCGGCTGCAGTACTGGCTGTCTTCAGCTGACCTGGAAATAGCCCCTCTTAACAATGCTTGGCCGATTGTCCCAGTTCCTTTCTCCCCTGCCTCCACCTCTGGCGCAGCCTTTTTCAGTCCATGCTGTTCATTGGCAACACCGTCCCTAGTCAAGCAGAAGCCTTGGCTCAGAAACCACCAGCCATACTCCTTCCAGTCAATAGTGAGTGTCTCAGCTTCCCCCACCTGGGGTTCCTCCATTCTCCCAGAAGCTTCCCCATCCCTGCCTTCAGAACACACACACACACAACCCCTTGACCCAGGCTGGGCATCTTTCTTAGGACTCTGGCTCGCTTTTCTGCCAGAGTGTGAGTCATAACTGCCTAGGGCCCTGCCCACAGATGGTGCCGGCCCCCCAAAATGCCGGTTCCCCGCATGACTTATCCTCGATGAGGAGAGACATCAGAGAAAGCAGCCCCACGAAGTCAGGAGACGGGCCAGAGCCATGGAGAAAGTGAGACAGAACAGAGGTGGGACCGGAGGGTAGAGACATGGGTGGGAGAGAGAGCAAGATTCTCCGAGAGTGAAGTGAGCATGGGAAGAAATGTGGATCCAGGGAGAGCCAGCGGGCCAGGGTCAGGGCTGTGCCAGCGAATTCAGCTTTTTCTTCCCCGTTAAGTAAACAAGCTCTCTGGGATCTGTGTTTTGCACAGCCCAACTTTCCCTAGCGGGAGTTGATTTAGCTGAGCGACCAGTTCTGGAAAAACCCGGGTACATGATGAAGAGGACCTGGAGCTCAGAACGACAGGCAGCCAGCTACAAGGAGAAAAACGTTCATCCTCCCGGACCTCCTGGACAAACTTCCTGCGCTCACCACCTGGGACCAGAGCCAAGCTGCAGCGGGAAGAAGTTGAGATTGGGCAGGCAGGAAAACGTCCACGAGGGACTGCTGAGAAGCGGCCAGATGGTTCTGGTTTGGGCCTGACCACTAGTGACTAGATGCCCAGTTACAGTCAAGACGAGGCTACAATCCAATTGTGTCCACCCTATAATCCAATTGAGTCCCTCCGATAGGCTAGAGCCTCCTACAGTGGAGAAAGCGGCCATAATCTCCATGATGGAACACAGATCTGGGGGGTGGGATTATAGGTCTGCACCACAATGCCGGGCTCCCAGGGATAGCTTTTAGGGTCCAGTTCTATCTACCTGGCTGCATAAACGGGACCAGGCACAACCTTTGCTGTTCACTCTGGTACACAAAGTGATCGACAACGTCCACCCACCAAAAGGAGTGTCTAGTGGCTGGCCTGGCCCCACCTGGTGTTTTTTGTTTGGTTGGTTTTTTCGAGACAGAGTTTCTCTGTGCAGTTTTGGCACCTGTCCTGGAACTTGCTCTGTAGACCAGGCTGGCCTCGAACTCACAGAGATCCGCCTGGCTCTGCCTCCCGAGTGCTGGGACTAAAGGCGTGGGCCACCCCACCGGCCCCACGTGGTGTTTAATAATGGCAGCCATCCTAACTCTGGCCAGCAGCAGAATCTCCTACAAGGAACTTTCCAGGCTTGTGCAGAAGCCGGAGGAGCTGGGGAGGGCATGCTCTTTATCCGCCTGATTTTTTCTTTATTACAATGGGTTAAGCCACCAAACTCATGATCTGAATTTTTTTTTTTATTTTCTGAAATGAAACCATTGTACATTGTACAAACAATACCTACTGATGGAATAAATAAGTGAAAAATTATACTGCTGTACAACACACCAAAAAAATTGTAAGAGGAAAAAAAAAGGTAACAGTGAAAAACAAAACAAAACAAAACAAAAGGTCTTTATATCTCTAACCAGGTCCTCGGCAATAATTAACATTCCAAACCATGACACCGTCTGACGATGGGCAGTCACCACCCTCTAAGGATCGGTCAATAGCCTTCCGGGTTGGGGGTGTTAAGTGCCAGCACTTTGTGGAATGTGTAGCCGCCATTTCCCCACTTTTACGTTTTGGGGGGAAGTTTGCCCTGGGAGCCCTTTAGGCCATGGGGCCTGATGTCCACGGAAGGCATTTGCTTAGGATCCCCAGTCCCTGGCTCGGCCAGATGAAAGGTCTTAGATTCTGCGGTGGGGATGAGGGCGAGGGGTTCAGGGATGGGGACCAGCGGCTCCGGGGAGAGGACCGCGGCGGGGAAGGAAGCACATTGGATTTTGCAGTCTGACCGCTCCTCCGCGTGGAAGGCTTTCCTGGCCAGCGTGGAGTGCAGGGCCGCTGGCTCTTTGCCTGGCGTGGCCGTTGGGGGGGCATTCGGACGGTCCCCATCAACGGTCCATTCCTACCTTCAGGCACTTCAGAGAAAAACTAACGACAGCCTCGGTACCGTGGACCTCACGTTTGTCTTCATCCTCAACTGCAACGTCAACTCCTCTCGACTGTCCAGAGAGGCTGCAGTGGACAGAAGAGATGCAGGCGGCCCTGGCCGCCCTGCTGGCTCCGTGGATGCATGCTGTAACCTCTCGTTTCCCAGAAAAAGAAATAAATGTCCAAATTCATCTCTCACCAAAATGGAGTTTTGCTGCAAAGAAAAATGTCGCCCTAACTCTAGAATCTGGAGGTAAAGCCGCCTTGACCTTGAGATATGTTGGAGGTCGTGTATCTGGTTGCTTTTCAGCAAAGACGCAGAACACAGTTCTTCATAGAACTGACCGCCTGAGGGGCAAAATTGCTAAGTACAAGATTTTTTTTTTTTAAGACAGAAACATTTTAGCGTCGCTAACTTCAACATTAAGATTCTCAAAGTTTTTTTTTTTTCTTCCCTTATTTCAGGAGATATTTTTTGCATGAGGTATTTAAAATCCAGGAACATTTTGATTCTTCGTGAAGTATAGGAAATACGACAGCTCCCTTGAGAACAGAAAAAGAAATAAGAGCTCTCCCCTCAGAAACAAACTCTTAGAAAATGGAGCCTGGCAGACACTTTTCCTGGTGGTCGGGAGAAAGATCCACACGTCAAAAGGTTGGTACCTGAATATGCACCAATGAGCAAACAAAACAAAAACAAAAACAAAAAACCACCCCGCGGCCCCCCCCCCCCAAACACACAACTCGTAGGGAGTCAGAGCTCCAGTGCAGTAAGTAAGAGAGCATAGGGAAGCTTTAAGGTCTGAGGATTCCGTGGAGGAAATAAGAGCAAACCAGGCCTCAGAACTGAACGGCCGCTGTCGCCTGGCAGTTCGTCCAAGGGGCGTCTCCACTGAGTGAGAGAAAGCTGTCTCGGTGCAATCGCGGGCAGGGGGAGGGGGAGCCGCCGTGGCCCCTTTCTGGGGGTGTGTGCAAATCTCCCCAGTTCCTCGGCGGCGGCGCCTTGCTTCTGGCCTTTGAGGCCCAATCGTTAAGGTCCGCTCCCCAGTGGAGGCCGACAGCCAGCACGAGCTGGGAACGAGACTCCATCCACCTGTCGCCTCTGAGAGTCAGAACACCACACGCCAGGTGCATCTTGCCTGGGGCTTGGGGTGTGTGTGTGGGGGCACAGGGAACACAAAGGGCAGCAGGTTTCCGTGGATTTGAAATCCAAGCAATGTCCCGTGGGAGAGTTCAGCACCAGCTAGTCCTGCTGCTCCCAACCTTCCCAGCCCTGTACCGTCCTAAGGAGACAAGCTCGCAGTCAGTCATGGTGTCCTCGGAGGGCCTGGAGAAGGCAGTGCCAGTGGTAGCTAGAGGGGGAGAGAGAGGGTGGAAGTGCCAGAAGAATCTAAAGGCTTTGCATGTCAATCCGGGCTACTGTGGCTTGCAAACCCCTAGTCTCCACGGCTCCAGGAGGTGAGGGCATGTCCTGAACCAAGGAGGCCAGCCCTTGGGAAGCGGGGCTGACACGTAGAGCCCCAGGGGCCCTGGAAGTTGGGGCTGACTCCACGTAGGGTACAGGGTGTGCCCAGCCACTGCCCACCTGAACCGGGGGCCACTGAAAGGTGCCTCATCTCCCGCCCCTCTACCCTGCCTGCTCTGAAGCAGTCTCGGGTGCAGGGAGAGGGGGAGAGACAGTCAGTTAAGGGGGCGGGCAGCAGCCTTCACTAAAGGGACGGGCACTTTTTGCCAGGAGAAATGCAGAAACCAGGAAGCATGCCAGAGATAACCTCTAGGGTACAAGGCACAAAAAAAGAAAGCAGAATGAATTGGTGGAAAAGTGAAAAAGCCCCTATGAAAAGCAAATTCCTGATTGGTACCACCCTCAAATAGCTTATATCATTAAATAGAGGGGTGGGGGAGGGGTGGGGGGGTGGGGGGGGGATACAGCAGCAACACAAATGTAATCTTGGCTTCCGAGACAGTGTGCAGACACACTCCTGAGCTGTCCACCCGCCTCCCCAGGGACAGTCGCTCGAGGGTTTCCGCTTCACAGCAGAGTTCGTCAGTGTCTGAGAAGTTCCGCCGTTCTAGGTTTTTCTTGGATTTGCACTTAGTAAACTTGAAACGTTAGTTCTGTTCGCCCCCGAGAGGAATCGCTTGGGCGACGTTCTAGGATTAAGCCTGCGGAGGTACCTGCCATGAAACATGGACCAAAGGGTTCCACTGGGCGTCTACATCTCTTCAGAGTTCTGTTGAGAGCATTCCAGCTTCATCTTTTTAGAGGGCGGCACTCCTTCCAAATCCTTCGGGGGGGAAGAAGAGAGGCGGCTGAGGTCAGTCAGTTAGGACGCAGGAGGGAACTCAGAACTACGCAGCTCTGACTGAACCCACCAGCACGATGTGGGCGGAGGGGAGGTTCCCGACACACGGCGAACTTCAAATCCAAATGCCTTGGAGAGCGCGTGAAGCCCACCTCCTCAGTTACCGATGTTCCTCTGACCTCCCCCCACCCCCCCAGCTGTTCCCCCTGTACTTTTAGTCCCTGGCCTTTGACTCCACACAGCCGAGGCCGAGTTTCCCTTGGGATTAGTCTCCCCGTCTGTGATTAATTGTGGACGTAAGTCCCCGAGCGTAAGGTTCAGTTCGGCAACCGTACCTCTACCTCTAAGATGGTTTCCTGAGAAACCCAGAGCTACTCTGCCGGGTGGACTGTTGCTCCTCAGGCTACAGGCACCCGGCTTGGTGCAAATGCTCAGCAATTCTTGAATGGCCACATGGGGATTATTCTGGGGAAAGTGGTCTCTTCTCGTCCCTGAATTCCCAAGAAGCCTTATGACTACCCAAAAGATCATTCATTCACCAACAGTCCCGCCTGGTCTCTCGGACCTCAACCATCGCCTGAGACCAAACTCCAGACAGTATCCACGCTAACTGCGCCTTTGAGGTGTCTTCCGGTTACCGCAGGCATGGATCAAGCCTGTGCCTGGACAGCAGCTCCCTACAGCCCCTTTCCATCTGGCCCACCCCTCCCCGCTTCATTAGCGGGATCTACCTCCTGTACCCGTTTGTCTGTCCATCTCTCTGAGCCGCCACCACTTGCTTCTCTGGGGCCTCCTTACAGGGTCATCCAGTATCATCTGAGCCTGCTCCTTAGACCCTAAACCTCTGTGGGAACAGAGGCTCCCAACATTTGCCCACTGACTTTTAAACACAAGCTCGACCTCTTTCCAGGGCTGGGGAGGCTAGGTGACCGGTCCCAGTGGCCCCTTCCTCTCCCCTGGATATTCTTGTCCTGGACCACCAGGCTCTAGCTACCCAGTGTTCTTTATTTTTGAGACAGGGTTTCTCTGTAGTTTTGGTTCCTGTCCTAGAACTCGCTCTGTAGCCCAGGCTGGCCTCGAACTCAGAGATCCGCCTGGCTCTGCCTCCCGAGTGCTGGGATTAAAGGGGTGCGCCACCACCCCCCGCCCAGCCCCTACCCAGTGTTCTTTGCTCTTCTGTTCCTCAACTTGGTCCTGTCTTGAAGCCTGTCCTCTTCCTGGGCTCACGGGTCGCAAACCTCAGGCACAGGACTCTCCTTCTCAATCTAAAGAGGCTCCAAGTCATCCGACTCATGCTTCTTCACACCAACCTATGCCATCTCTCAAGACAGAGACTTAATGTTCTCTGTCTACTAAACTTCTCTGCCTGAGCCGCCCTGGTCCCTGGAATAGGGCTCGGTCGGTCGGGGTAGCATGCGCTGTGCTGTTAACAACTGTGATGAAGAGGCGCCAGCTCACAACTAAAGAGAAGGCTGAGTGAGCTCTCTCTGAGGACTCTGGACAGGACTTGGCATGACGGGAGCCAGCTCGCTTCCTCACTGGTCTTTGGAATTTTATGTTTTACTACATTCATTCGTTTTTTTCGTTTTCTGTGTAGCCCTGGCTGGCCTCGAACTCAGAGCTCCTCCTGCCTCTGTCTCCCAAGGGGCACGCCACCACCCCTCGGCAACATTCCTTCTTTATACATGGTGTGTGTATGCGTGTGCGTGTAACACGACCTATGTGCAGAGGTCAGAGGGCAGCTTGAGGCGGCCCTTTTTCTCTTTCCACTGTGTGTTCCTAGATTTCAAACTCAGGCCATCAGGCCGGGTGCATGCATGTGCCTTGATCAGTGGCCCCATCTTGCTGCCCCTCCCCGCCCCGCCCCCTTCTTCCAGACAGGGTATCACTCTGCAGCCCTAGTTGGCTGGGAACTCAGTGTCTAGACTAGACTGGCCTTACGCTCACAGCCATCAGCCTGCTTCTGCCTCCCGAGTGCTGGGACTAGAGGCGTGCAGCGCCATCACACCTGGCTTCCCCCGTTTGCTTTTTAAAGGGAGACACAGATGTAAGAGGAGGAAGTGGGCAAGCGTGCTCCCCGGGCTGCTGGTTCCCGTCCGAAGGAGCAGCTCTCTGTCAGGCTGAGTATCTGGGAGGGATGGGTTAGCTTGGGCTGTTCCACATCAAGACAGAGCAGAGGCAAATCTCGGGCTCTCAGGGGGAACGAGGAGGGAAGAACACAGGAGAAAGACATCTGAGACTCAGGCCAGCGAAAAGAGGTCCTCCCGACCCCTGAGGGAGTACAATATGAACTTTTTTTTTTCTTTTCCCTTTTTTACGCTGGGACATGCTAGGCTCATGCTCCTCTTGAACCTACCATCTTATTTTTTTTTTTTTTTTTTGGAGCTGAGGACCGAACCCAGGGCTCTACCACTGAGCTAAATCCCCAACCCCGAACCTACCATCTTTTTAAGATTTTATTTTTACAAGTTTATGTACTTATTTTATGCATGTGAATGTATGTATGTAAGTGCACCATGTACCTCTGTCAGGTCCCCCAGACCTGGAGTTAGAAGATGGTTGTGAGCTCCTATGTAGGTGGTGGGAATCGAACCCGGGTCCTCTGCAAGCAGTAAGTGCTCTTAACCACTGAGCCATCTCTCCAGCCCCACACATCAACACACACACCGTGGCCCTGGCAGATGGCATCTGTGTGTCTACACTGAGCTCTGGCTGCATATCTTACCCACATTTCCTCATCTAATCTCCAGTGATAGCTTGACAGATTGAGGCTCAGCAAGGCAGACACCCAGGTGCTAAGTGATACACCTGTGGATAGCACCTGAGGCCTCACACAGGTCAGCAGGTGCTCCAGCCCCAGCTCCCTCCCCGCAACATCCTCTCCAGATCTAAAGCCCTTCTTGGCGCCTCTTCATCAAGGTTAGCACAGTACCTCCTAAAGATCTGATCCTATTCGGATGAATAGGTGAATGCACTCTCATTAAGTCTCCCAGGCTGGCTCTGAACTTGTGAGTCTCTTGCCTCAATGTCCCAGGTAGCTGGGATTACTGGCTTGCACCTCCATACCCAGCGAACTGGAGCTGGATTTGAACCTGGGCTAGGCTCTATCCTATCTGCCTCCTGCCCCTGGGCCTTGTGTTTATACCGAACAATCCAAGAAAGAGGTTGGTACTCAGTTACAACACAGAATGGGGGGGCCTGTGCAGGCGGCTGGATCAGATGCAAAATGCCAAAGAACAGTCTGGCCTGCAGGTTTCTGAGGTCCAGTCTTCCTTAACTTTAAAGAACGTGGGGCCACTGGGATGACGGACCCACATAATGCCATCACCAAGCTGAGACTAGGATGACAGTGTGCATTCTCTACCCCAGAGGCTTCTTGAAGCAGGACACACGTCCCTCCCATCCCGGTGGCCCCAGGTGACAGAGGCTAACACTTCCAGCTGCTGTTGAATGGACACACAGTGTTCCAGATGAAGCAGCATGATTTTCAACAGACCACGGAGGACCCCAGCCCCGCCCCAGCGAGGCCCGGCTGCAGGTACCTGAGAGACTGCGGAAGCTTCTGCTGCCGCCAACCCCGACTCTGCAGATGGCTGCCGGTCCGCTTTTTCTGAGCTGTTCATTGAGTTCTCCATCGAGGACTGCGAATTCTGCTCGTCAGAGGCATCTGAGCAGAGAGCAAGACGACAGAGGCTGTTTTCAGACACACGAGAAGCAGGCACCAGATGGGCCAAGTACTAAAAATACCCGGATCTGGGTAGTTTTGTGCCCGGGGGCTTCCAGAGCTAGATGGGCTAAAGCTTGGGGAGTTTCTCACTTATCTGCCAGCAAGGCGGTTACAAATAGCCAGGCCACGGGTGGACTCTGTGGGTCTCCAACCCTCCTTCCAAGCAGACCTACGCTGTCTGCAGGAAGAGGACTATTTTGTACGCAATGCTGCCAGCGTCTGGCGCCCTCTGCCGGGCACCAGGCACCACAGCAATCATGGCGGTCTCCTGGCTCAGGCTAGCATTCTCCGGACATCATAGGGCGCTGACTCTTGGCACACACTTCTCTTTCCTTCTTTTAAATAAGTCTTTCCAAGGGTTATTTTTCTTTTATGTGGACGGGTTTTGTGCCTGCAAGCATGTCTGTGCACCATATGTGTACCGCCCGCTGCCCGCGGAGGCCAGGGAAGAACGTCTGATCCCCTGGAACTGGAGTTACAGATGGTTCTGAGCCGCCAAGGGGGCGCTGGGAACCAGACCGGGGTCCTCTGCAAGGGCAGCCAGTGCTCTTAACCACCGCGCCAGCTCTCCAGCCTCTAATCTTCAACAAAGAAGACACAAAAAACCCACCTTTGTTTACCTAGTGTTTAGGCTTGCACGCCACAGTGAGCATGTGGAGGTCAGAGGACAACCTGATGGGGTCATTTCCCTCCTACCAGATGAGTTCTGCTGATTGAACTCAGGTTGTCAGGCTTGGTGACAAGCCCCTTTACCTGCTGAGCCATCCTGCCGGCCCCTGGACCAGCCGCAGACTCTATTCGTAGTTAAGAATAACCTTGACTTCTGGTCCTATGGACCCCGCCTCCTGAGTGCTGGGATCCACAAGTGTGCACTGCCATGGCTGCTGTATTTGGTGCCAAGGATCAAACCCAGTGTTTCAAGAGTGCTTGGCCAGGTGAGTACCCTACCAACTGAACTAGATCCCTAGCCCCAAGCTTCGCTTAATCATAAGTGAGGGTGTTTCTCTGGTGATCGGAGCAGTGACTAACCACTGAGAAAACAAAAACAAAAGTTAAAATCAAGCCGGGTGGTGGTGGCGCACACTTTAAATCCCAGCACTCGGGAGGCAGAGGCAGGTGGATCTCTGTGAGTTCGAGGCCAGCCTGGTCTACAGAGCAAGATCTAAGACAGGCACCAAAAACTACACAGAAAAACTGTCCCCCCACCCCCCCACCCCCAAAAAAAAGAGTTAAAAATCAACTGTGCCAGGCGGTGGTGGCGCACACCTCTAGATTCTGGGACACAAGGAAGGAGGCACCGCAAAATCCCACCTAAGCTGCTCACACATGGCCCCAGTGACAAGTCACCCTGGCTTTATTTATTTAAATTTTATTTTTAATCACTGAGGGGGGTATGTGCATCTCAGTGAGGGAGTCCACGGAGGCCACAGGTGGTGGATTCCTGGGAACCAGAGCTACAGGAAGCTGTAAGCTGCCCAACATGGGTGCTGGGAATCTAACTCCGATCACTCTTAGCTGCTGAGCCATCTCTCCAGCCCTCACCCTGCTTTTAAGCCTCCTCCTCCTTCCTCCCGAGTGCTGGGATTAAAGGCGTGCGCCACCACCATCTAGCCGCACTCTGATTTTAAAAAGCCTACTATAGTAATGTTGAAGAATGCTAAGTAACCATGGCTTACTTTCTGAGGCAGAGGAACAATAAAGAGCAAAATCCAAGCATGAACTGAAAAAGCACAGAAGTAATGTGGGCACATGGCCAGCAGCTGCCTAGAGCCCGAGGCAGGTGGGGGTGCAGACGGCTCGAATGCACAGCCCCAAGTAGAAGGCAGGTCCCTGCCTGCCACTATCCAGACCAGCAGCCCGCCTTTACATGGCTGGTCAGAGTTCCTGTGCAGGGCTTTCTAATGGCCACAGGGTGGGGGCTCCACCGACAACCCAGAAGCAAAGGGACTCAGTTCAGAGATGGATTTAAATTCAAACACTGCCTTTGCCCCCGGTGAATCAGGGGATTCTGTCCAAGACCCCTGCCTCCCCTATAAAAACAAGGTTGACAATGGCCACCCTGTCCAGTGATCTGTGACGGCATGGACAGATCCCAAACTGGCCAGTCCTGGAGGCACAAGGCTGTACACCTAGCATGTGGAAGGCCGAGGCAGGGCGATCAAGAATTCAAGGCCAATCTAGGCCACACAGTGACAACCTGTCTCAAAAACACCGGCCCCTCCTGCGGATTAACCCTAGGTGGGGGTAACTGGTGGACTCTCTGGGACACAGACTCAAACTCTCTGTAAACCTGAAAGGTCTTTCACATTTTAGTATTGTCTACTTACCTATTTATTATATATGCTGGCCTAGAACTCACTGTATCACTCAGGCTGGCTTCAACTGTGGCAATCTCTCCCCTTGGTCTCCTGAATGCTGTGACTACTATACCCTGAACACCTGGCTTAGATTCACATTGAAAACTCTTCATGTTAATGGCAGTTCCTCAAAAACTTAAACAGATGACCCAGAAAATTTTATTTCCAAAAGAACTGAAAAGCAGAGCCTCAAAGAGTCTGGACTATGAACGCCACGGTGGCACTGTTCACAACGGTGAATACAACGGAGGGGGCAGCCACATTGACAAACAAAATGTGGTCTTCCTTACAGCGGACTATTACCCAGTCATAAAAAAGGAACAAAGGAAGGCCGGGGGGACGGCTCAGGGGGTAAAAGTACTAGCCTAAAAACCCAGATTTGTTCCCCAGAAGTCATGTCAAAATCAGAACACAGTGGCACACATCTGTAATACCAGGACTCCTATGGCTACAGAGAGGTGGGAGGTGGAGACAGGGGGCTGGCTCAGAAGGTCCAGGGCCAGCCCAGCTAGCCTGGATTAAATAGCACAGCCACCGAAACAAGAGACCCTGCCTCGATAGGGTGGAAGGCAAGATAGATGATGTTCTTTATGTAAAATGTCCACGCACGCACGCACGCACGCACGCACGCACGCACGCATGCACGCGGCAGATTGGTCATTATAAGGGAACGGTGAATGCAGTATGTGCAGTTTCTTTATGGACTGAGGAAAATGGTCTGGAACGAGACAGAGATGACAGACTATTCTAGACACTGGTGAACTGTTTCTCACTTAGAAATGGCTCAGTTCCATCTTTTTTGTGGAGGGATGGGGTCCTGGGTGTTGAGCCCAGGCTGTCTCATAGACGAAGCGTGATGTCTACACCTGAGCTTTACCAGCACCAAAGCGGTTCATTTCATGTGACTTTCTTTCTTTCTTTTTGGAGACAGGTTTTACAACAAAGCTATGAAGCACAGGCCAGCCTCAAATCTGTGATCTTCCCGCTGCAGTCTCTCAAGTCCTGGGATTACATGTGGGTACCACCAGGTCTGAGGCACGAATTTCAAGTTACTAAGTAGGAGAAGTTGGGGGCTGGGGAGATGGCTCAGGGGTTAAAAGCGCCTGCTGCTCTTGCAGAGGACCTGGCTTTGGTTCCCAGCACCCACGTGGTGGCTGACAATGATTGGTAATGTCAGTTCTAGGGGATCTGACACCCTCTTCTGATCTTTGAGGGTCTCGGGCACACACGTGGTACAAATACATACCCACAGGCAAAACACTTACACACATAAAATAACTTTTTTTTTAAGAGGGAAAAGTTAGAGGGCCAGGCATGGTGGGATACTTTTAATCCTAGCACCCAGGAGGTAGAGGCAGGAAGTAGAGAACTCATCTGTGTGAGTTCTAGGCTAGCCCAGGCTACATAGTGAGACCCCACTCAAAAATAAAAGGGGGTGGAGTGGGGAGAAAGAAGCAAATAAAGACAAGTTGGGCATGGCAGTGCATATTTGTAATCTCAGCACTTGGAAGGTGGAGGTCAGGAGTTCAAAACCAGTCTTGGCTGCTACATGATACTCTGCTTGGAAAGAAGAAAGAAGAAAAAACAAAGGAAAAAACAAACAAACAAAAAAACCCTCCACGTTCATTTTGTATTCTATTTCATAATCTATTTGTTTGCTTTAACAAAACACATCTGTAACTGACCTACAAAGTCAGCCTTACCGGTGGCTTTGCCTCTGTGGCCGGTTTGTTTTCTGCATGCATTGGGCTCTGCAGATGGAGGGGAGGGGGGGGTTAACACTCCCCAGGCAGGCAGGCAGGCAGTCACAGGCGATCTGGAGATCCCCACTGCCTGATTGCTGGCAGAGACATGCCTGGGCTCGAGGCCTCCTTGAGAGCCAGGCCTGAGGGCTCCGAGGGAGCCAATGGTGCGGCTTGCAGCATGCCAGGACTCAGGACAGCAGCCTGTTCTCTGAGCGTCCTGGTGCCTCTGGAGCTCACCCAGGGGAAATTATTTTCCCGGGGCCTAAATTTAGTCCAGGGAGCTTGGACATGATGTCATTCCCTGAGCTTACCCAGCAGTAAACAAGTTCAAAGCAAGGTCATCAGCTAGTGGCCAATCCACCCTGTCCCAGTTTACCCACCTGTGGGGAGGTCACATGGGGCCTGGGCTTATTATGCCCTGTGCATCCTGTGCATGGGGACCTGGGGCAGGTGGGTACAAGCCCAGTGGCCTGGGGTGACTGGAAGAGGATCCTGGTATGATTCCCACCTGGGCCTATAGAGCCTTTGGTGCAGTTGGGGTGTCGGGGTACAAAAGACAGCAGTCACAGAAGTGTTACCCCAAGTGTAACTCTTACAGCTGAGCTCAACTGGCCCATTAGGGGAAAGGGGACCCAGATTCAAGTGGGAAATAAGGCTGTAGCCGGACAGCAGGACACGGATGACACCAAGAAGGATGCTGATACAACCACACTCGCCCTAGTAACCTCAGAACTACCCCACACACACACAGAGATGAGGGGGGGTGAGGGGCTCTCCACAGCTCCCCAACTCCTGCCTCCACCCCAGAATTGTGCTGAGCACTTTGCTGATATCCCCACATCCTTCATTCCTTGCTACACCCTGATAAGGGAAATCACTTTTATCGGTCTCATTTTAGAAACCAGAAAACAGGTAGGTAGGTGCAGGGGAGTCGGTGTTGCCCGTCCAAGCCCACTCTGTAGTAAACAGCAGCTGAGCTGTGGCTATGGCCCAGCCCAGTCCCTCCACCTTCTGCCTCAAGCTGTTATCTAAACAGCAAGATGCTGGGAAGCCCAGTGGGTTGGCCCTGACTACAAGGGCCCTCAAGGGGAAATGAGAGGTCATGCTCACAGACGTAAATGGCAGAGGGCTTTAGCAAAGCCACTAGGGCAATAAGGAAACTCGTGTGTGTGTGTGTGTGTGTGTGTGTGTGTGTGTGTGTGTGTGTGTCTGTATGCGTCTGTGTGTGTGTGTCTGT